AGGCAACTTTGACAAAGATTTTGACCTGGTATTAAATCTAAGCAAAACTAAAACCATTAATACTTGGAAAGGGAAAGGGAAAATGAGTGAACAGCGTACATGGGTGTCCCATTAATCCTTAAGGTTCTTCTTAAGGTAATTCCTTAAGGGTGTCCTTAAGAGAATAATGTGGGTATCTAAATCTACTGTAAAAACAGTTACAAACACGTACATCAGTACTATGCAAATTATACAGGCAAAAAAACCCACAATGATATCAACATTGAAAATTCCATTGTAATAACCAAGATGTAAATTTTTTGTGGCACGCGTATAGTTATTGTTTTGAAACTGTCACATTGGTTCGGTAACTGTTACATTGTTGCAGACAAGAGCCAGTGTAAACTGATTCTTCTGGTAGGCACTAACCACAAAAATATCATAAATCAGTTATTTTGATTAGATTTTAATTTTAACATATAATCATGTATTGAAATTAACAATAAAATAAAATCAATGTATTTTCCAACGATCACATAAGACCAATAGATGGAGCACGTTGGCCGCGACGAGAATCCAATATTTATTTTTGAATGATACGCTAACATCGTTAATAAGACGCTAACAATTTTGTTCAAAATACCATCGTGTTTGTCGTGACACAAGAAATAACACCAATATGACAGATTTCTGATGCGAACAAAGGCGTTTTTTAAACAGATTTATATTTGTAAACAAAAATTTCTCCCGCGACTGGCAGCGGGTCGTCTGGTGTTTGTACAATATTTCCCAGCCGGGCGGGAGCGCATGCGAATCTGCGACGTTGCCGATGTGTACCTGGCCACCACACTGACATTGCATCGGTATTCACTCATTTTAGAATAGATGTTACCAGTGTAAAAATCTAAGACCACCTGGTTAGCTTGGTTAGTCATCTCCCATAGCGACCATAGTTCAAGAAAGGGAGGAGCTAATGTGTACATTCCATTACTCATCGCATATTCCATCACATTTGTAGATGCACAGCCTTAACGCAACACTTCCCGGAAAAGGTGATGACCGCTCCGATTTCTACTCTCAGTGGTTTATTTAAAAATGGCAAATTAAAGAAACCATTAAATAAATACTGGTGGAAAATATTTACATGGCATTTAGCTTAATAATTTTTTAACGAGCTCAATCAAACAAAAGCTCAATCAATAAATTGGCTTGGTGCTCGTAATACAAAGTAGATTTTCCCTACCACCATAGTTAACGTATTATAATGTATTTGTTTCATAACTAGTTAATTAGAATATTTTGTTAGTAAATTTATGTAAATTTCAAACTAAATAATTAATTTTCACAGTAGTTTGTCGTGAGTGAATACCAAAGCAATGTCAGTGTGGTAGTCAGGTACACATCGGCTACGTCGCAGATTCGCACGCGCTACCGCCCGGCTGGGAAATATCGTACAACACCAGGCGGCCCGCTGCCAGTCGCCGTTTACAAATATAAATCTGTTTTAAAAACACCTTTGTTTGCATTATAAATCTGTCATATTGGTGTTATTTCTTGTGTCACGACAAACACGATGGTATTTTTAACGAAATGTTTAGGGTCTTATTAACGATGTTAGCACTCGTTTTAAAAATTAACAGCAGCATAAAAACTATTGTGAGTAAAAATTTTAAAATGCATGGGAATGTAAATAATAAACCTACCAATAAACTATAAAAATTTCAGAAAGATTGGCTCAGTGGTTTGTTTACAATTAAATTTTAAACTTCCAATAACTGTAACCAATAACCGTACCTACGAAAACACTTCAGTATACTTAATTATTAGTCTTGTCAGTAAGTTGCTAATTAAATAACACAAATAATAAGGGACAATATGTGCAGTGAGCATTAGTTAAAACGAAAGGTTTTTTTAATTCTGTATATATGAAGAAGCCCGTTTTATCGTGTAAACTAAAACATGTTCTTTTCTGTTTCAGTACTTAAATCCTACAAACTTCATAGAGCATTCACACCCTCCAAACGAAGTATCAAAAGAAGTCCTTAAAGCACGCCTGAATTTAAGGGAGGCTTCAACGAAACCTAACATTCGACCAGTTCAAGTCCTTGCAACCACACTTCGGGAAACGTCTGACGACGTAAAGGGACAGCTGTGCTCCAAATTGTCTTCGGTTCAGAGGGACATCAGACGACAGAGACAACGAACACTACCCTCGCTACCGAAACAGGTGTGCGACTTAGAGATTCCCGTCGAGTGGTCGATTACTGGAGGAGAGGCATCAAGGCATTTTCTACTGCACGACAGCGGCTCCAAATACACTGCATTTGGTGCGTCCAAATACAATTTTGATGGATTTTGAGAAGGCGCCCATGAACGCCATTACGAAACTTCTAGGTGATGTAGTAAAAGTTAAAGGGTGCTATTTCCATCTCTGTCAAAATACGTGGAAGCACATACAGGGGTTGGGGTTGGCTTCGTTATACAAGAACAGGGCGGATATCAGACTGTTCTGCGGCATGATGGACGCCCTTGCCTTTCTGCCAGAGGAAGATGTCACCGATGGAATTCTACTGCTATGGGCGAGTGCTCCAGTGGAGCTGGCAGATCTCCTATATTTCGATGAAACCTACGTCAATGGAAAAGTAGGAGCTGACAAGCCTGCTCTTTTTCCTCCCCACGTCTGGAACCATCATGAATCTGCACTCCAGGATGGCCATAGGACAAACAATTTTTGCGAATCCTGGAACAACCGATTCAATTTGCTGGTTGGGCATGCTAACGCTTCGTTCTGGACAGTTGTAGAAACGCTACAAAAGGACGAAGCTTTGGAAAGAACAAAGCGTTTGCTACCACCGCAAGAAAGGAGGGTAAATAAGAAGGAAAAGTTAACCCGAGAAAAAATACAAAGACAATGTATAGAGTACAATGCAAATGTCATTTCAATGGAAGAGTTTTTAAAGCAAGTAGGAGCATTGATAAGATTTTAACAGATGTTAAAGTAGTTTTTTTTTAAGTAAACATGATTTTAAACACTGCAGTTTTTTTTTGTACCTTACACCAGACTGTCATTTAATTAAAGTAGGCCTATCATTATTTTTATACTACGTCTCTTGTTTAAATTATCTGAATGAATGTACTACGAATGTACATTCAGCTGTTAAACTACAATTCACACTTTAAACTGAAATTGTTGTATGGATAATATTGTTGCACTATTGAGTGGATGGATTCTTATGTAAACATGCCTTGAAATCATATTTAGTGAGACTTAAATCGTCAACGTTAATGATTTATGAAAGCTAAAGCGACAATAGGCGGACGGTGGCCCACCTTCTGCGGTAGCCTATCTACAAAAGCTATAATGTATATATAACACTATAATATCTATATCTAATATGATGGTCAATTTATACATACCCACTGTTTTGGTATCTTTAACTTTTTGAGGTGACACATATTCAGTCGTTTATTATTCACATTTCAAATCGTCGTTAAAATTGGTTAAAACTGTATAAATATACAATTTTTAGCACGGTGTTTGTAACTAAACTAGCCCAAACTTAGATTTAAATCCATCTAATACCTGCTCTGGGGCTCAGGTCCTTCTTGGAAGTACCAAATCCTATTCATAGTTTCTGCCCAGCTTGCTGTGTCAAACACCCCATATCACCCCTTCCCTACTTCCCTCTTACCCCACAAAATCTTTTAAATTTACCTACAGGGAATCTTTCGGGGGCAGCAGACTCAGAGCTACCCACGTTCCCTATTGTTTGGTGCGGAGGGTAAGTTTCTCATAATCACCCCAGGCCGAAAGTCCTACACTCCTTATGGTCACTGGGTGAGGTCCGGTATGCTTTTAGTTACGCCAAGTTATTGTGGATTTCTCAGAATCAGTTTTTATCCCAGCATTACAGTTCCTCTCAAAACATCGCCAAGTTATTTCCCCACTTTTAGCAACATAGTTCTGTCTGAATTTAAAATTATTGTATATAATATTTGGTTTACCATTTTTGGTTTGCTCAAGTTGAAATTCCATGTCAACTATGAAGAAGTGGATGAGAATTTAAGAATATAATAATATAAAATTGTGTGCTTATGTCAAACTAATGAATGAGAAGATTTATTCAATGCTGTTTGAAGAACAGAACAGATTCATGGAAACTAAAAATGACTAGCTTGGCATTCCCTGTGTGCAGACGATTTGATTGTCAGTTGTCAGTTCCAAGTACCAACAGGAGTTCAAGTCAGAATATGCTCAATCACAACACTACTCGTGAACCCAAAATCATTTCAATTAGAAAGCAATTAAGTGATTACTTGACTATTAATTCAGAATACACATAATTAGTTCGTAACAGTTATTTATAAATATGTTCCATGCAATCTTAAACGTGTGAACTGTTCAGTTAATGCAAACAAAATACAGCATGCATAACCTAGTCTTTGCAGAAATGTGAGTAATTACTGTTTAAATTAAATAATAAATTAAATGTAGACTATCGATTGCATATGTAGTATAACTCAAACTTAGACATTTTATTTGTACTGAGGGCTTTAAAAACAACAATAAACTTATTATAACTGTAAAAACTTGAACTCACAAGCAGACAGACTACACCAATAATTAGATAGCAGACGACCTACCTATTGCAAATGCAAAGTCTTGACTATTCTCCATAAGCATTTTGCTTCTTAGGGTTTGCATTCATTGGTCATCGTGGGCATTGATGGTGGGTTTATGCTGGATTTTGGACAGGGGTTATTGATGTAGAATATGTTAAGGTTTGCCAGGGCTATTTTACCCCTCCAGTTAAGGTGTAGACCGTGTCGGATAAAGTATGGCGGGATAAGGAGTCAAGTGAGTTAGAGCCATAGTTTACGTTTTCATGGGATGAAGCTAGAGACAAGTCGGAAAGTGATTTTCTTGACTGTATCATTCAAATTTAGTTGGTCGTGTCTCCGAAGGAGAGCAACTACCAAAACGTTACGTGTTGACAGTGTTTTTTGCTTTGTGTTTACAGAATAACATTCAGAGAGTTGCACACTGCTTATGGTCGACCGATTTTAACTGACAGAAATGAGTGGCGTCATCGACAGAAACAGGAGCTAGAGAAAAAACAAGTCTCACTGATATCCTTATGAACTTACACTTATACAATCTTACGTCATTATATTCTAATAAGTATTTATTTAAAAATTATATAATGTTCTTAAAGTCTACATTGTACAATTTAAAAATTTGTTTAAACCTGTTTGAAATCCATCACCTGTATTAGAAAAACTTATGTTTTAAAACAATTCGGCCAAATATTAAATTGTGACAAATCAACAATCCAACCCACAGGCTGTTGGGCATGGGATAATGTCTAATATTGTTTTCTTAGCAATAGGTTTATTACAATTTGAAAACAAAAAATTGAAATACTATCTTTCAACAAGTTATGTTAGTTATGTTACTATTGACATCAATTTATTAAGTAAGCAAAATGGAACTTTGTACGGTATTCAAATTAAAATCATTTTTAGCATTACTAAAATAACAATTTAAAATTGTATGAGACCCTAGTGAGAAATATAAATCAATTCATTCTAACATCTGACCCATTTAACATTTCTAGTTTGTATACATCTTGATTGCATTTAATCTTTTGACTCATTCCAGACCAAAAAATCAGGTATGTCTAGATTGAGCAGACCGTCTGATATCGAGATTCCACTGTAAAGTTAAATGGTTAAACTCAACTAATACACTGCAATTATTATTTTAGAATCAATTAACTATTCTAATCAATTAAAGCTCATTCATTTCACCTAGAACATATTAATATTTGTATGTAATCACTCAAATTTTAGATTCGAGAGTTCAGCTAGAGAGCACAAGCATTTTAGTAGGTTTGTTGTTTATATAGCCTACAATATTGTAACTCAACCAGGGTGCTGAATCTATTAACTGTATTATATAGATACAGTATCAGTAGGCAGAGCTGCTATGATGGTTAATCACTGGGACGCTTTAAAAATAAAACATACATAATTCATTATAATTTAATTATATGTGTGTTTTACCTACACTGGGATTTTGCACCCTTGTATTCTTAGTACCGTATCTATTTGTCTAATAAAGCATGTGACACACTGCTGAAATCTTACGATGGTTTTTACCCGACACCAAGACACCTTTAGTACCATCGCTTACCTTTGTGATTAGAAACCTTACATAAAATGTTCATAATGGATAGAAGGGAGCAGGTGACAATGGTGACATCTCTAGTTCTCTTAGCCTTGACAAGCAATCATAGCAGCCCTGTCTTAAAGGTGTATAAGTGACCTAGATTTTAGAACAAACCCAAAAAATTTACTTCAGAGAATAGAGAAACAGAGAAAATATAATGTTATATTTTGTTATATAGAAATTACCATAGTGTAGGTTACCTTGAATGTACAAGGACAATAAAATGTACCAAAGATTAAATTGCCATTTTACTTTACCTGTTTCATTTATTGTCTGTAAATGTTTTCAGTGGCCTACATTTACAAAAATATGTATTGAACCCAAGCCTTTATTATCATTTTAAAACCAGTGGTCATACCAACCCTGTAAACAAGAGGAAGCATATTTAACCCTCTTAGTGCTACGATGTAGTTACCGTACCTGAGAGCAACTCTTAGTGTTTTGTATAGTATGCTAAAACTGTTTATTTTATGTGTCAGAACAGTCTGAAAGCTTCAAATTATGTTGTAAATAGTGATGTGTTGATGCCTCGAACATTGACTGACGTCTTAGGATCGAGCGCACGGGCCTTTCACAGCTGCCTTCAGTTTGCCAGCAAAAGTGGTTTCGTCATTTGTCTTGCCCAGTTCAAGGAGCACATCCCCGTCACAGGTTTGTCTCATTGACCCTACAACTATATCGGTCTGCTTCGGCTGCTGCGTCAATATTGTCCTGACCCAGAAGCACCACCCCTGAACTCTCCGGCCACATTGTTGGTGTACAGGGTGTAATGTACACCCTAGGGTGTAATCTACTAGTTGTTGTACCCGCGTGCTTTGCAACGGGAAGAGGACACAAAATAGAAACATTTTGATCTTTACATTTGTTGATTAAAATAGTTACAAATCCACCAACGCTTTTAGAAATAAAATTCAGCTGCACTTTAGCTTATCTGCTCTACACTCATTCGAATGAAAAATATTGATATAGGCTATACAGGGTGTCTAACTCTCTGGACATATGTATATAGTGTTATTGCTTAGGTCAAGACAAACACATTTCACCACAGGAACATGGGTCTGTGGTGCCTAGTTTTCCGTCTGTCTGTATTTCTGTGTTTTTTACAAAAAACATTATTAACTCCTAACAGGTTTGAGATACAGCATTGAGATTTTGCATAATTTATGTTTATCTTGTTAAGACCTATCTTTGTTTAAAATTACCCAAATGATTTACCGTTTTAAAATGGCAGCCATTTGATGGCAAATTTCATGAAAACCGTTAACTTAACAAAAAAATTGCTAGAGACAAAAAGTTGGTAAATTTTATGTAGTTTTCAATGTTACCTTATTTGTTTTGTTAAGAATGGATAAATAATAACCGCTCGGCGACAGTCGCGGTGGTAGACTGTTTTGCTTGGAGCGACAACTTCTTCTTCCTGGCGTCACGAGACATGGTACCGCCAGTGCACCTAACCTCAAAAGTGCGCACTTAGTATAAAGTCACTAAATAAATTCGATAAATTCACTTAGTAAAACAGGTAAAACTTAACAATAAAGTATTCTTTATAGTTATTTGTTATGAGAAACATTCCAAAACTGCCATGTCACAAGCCAAAATGTAATCAAATTAATCAATTTCTCCATAAATTGCAGTACACAAGCATAACTTGAATTGGAAATCAGTGTTATAAACAACCTCCTCACAGAGTGAAAATTATATTTTGTTGATTGTATTGTAGATGAAAAAAATACCTATATTAAAATAACTTGTAATATAATACTGGTAACATAATACTTACTTAATACTTTTCTTTGAAATACCTGCCAAACTGTCGTTCTCCTCACCACTAAATTTAAATTAATCCCAGGCGTTGTCCGGGTAGCCGACGACGCCATATAGTGAAAATAAAAGGTCGTCGAACTTGTCAAAATGTTCTACACTATAAAAACAATCAGAAATGTAACTATCGCTCCTGATTGGTCTTGGAGCAGTACCCAGCGACTGCAGCTCGCGGCTCTAGCGAAGCGACAGTAGCTCCAAGCAAAACAGGACCATAGATGAAGTAATCAGGACTATGCAAACAGTGTTTCCACTTTGCATCGAGCAGCTCCAACGAGCACATAGCAGCTCCCCTCACCAGGACCGAAATTTCCCCTTTTTTCCCCTCTCTACTTTAATAAATGTCCCTATGATTTTCCCCTCAACAAACTTATATATATATATATATATATATATATATATATACATACAGGGTGAGTTTTAAATGAGTTCCCCCCCTACTTTTTTCTACATTTATTAAGATATCAACTCCGGACCACGTCAGACCATTGTAGGGTAGTAAGTACTTCATTTTGACTGGGTATAAATTTTTGGCCGCCATCTTGGATCCGCCATATTGGATACAAAGTTTTTTTTCAAATGTAAAGGTAGGGTTGTGACCCATTATTCCAAACTAGAATTTAACGCTGATTACAATGCCGCAATTAGTTTAAAAAAAATCTTAATCTGTTCTAAAGTTACAAGGACTTTTTATAACTTTATTTTTAGCCCAATTTAACATTGTGCATTTACAAACTAAGACCATAATCTCAAAATAGTGCTAGATAAAAATAAGTATAGACCACCATTCATTGTCGACCTATTTTCACTTGGTTATGACGGATGTAATTTTTTAGGTGGCCATCTTGGATCCGCCATTTTGAAATGTGATCAATTAATTTAAAGTACCTGGGGACCGAGCTTTGCTCAGGTAAAATTGTTAGTTTAATATGAAAGCAGTCTTAGTATTGCAGATACATTAATCCATTCCCAAACTCCACACTGCTCACCTTTACTACTTCGTTCACCACTTCCTACGTCGTGGGTCTGTTTCCTTCCCTTCCCATAGCATTTTAAGATTGCAGATACCTTAATCCAATCGTCATAAACTGTTCCCGCACTCCGGACTGCTCGCCTTTACTACTTCCTTCACCACTTCCTACGTCGCAGACCTGTTTCCCTCCCTTTCCGTAGCATTATAGGATTGCAGATACCTTAATCCAATCGTCATAAACAGTTCCCGAACTCCGGACTGCTCGCCTTTTCTACTTCCTTCACCACTTCCTACGTCGCGGACCTTTTTCCCTTCCTTCTCATAGCATTTTAAGATTGCAGAAACCTTAATCTAATCGTCATAAACAGATCCCACTCTCCAGACTACTCGCTTTGACTACTTCCTTCACCAGTTCCTACGTCACGGCCCTGTTTACCTCCCTCCCCATATCATTTTAAGATTGCAGATACCTTAATCTAATCTTCAAAAGCAGTTCCCACACTCCGGACTACTCGCCTGGACTACTTCCTTCACCACTTCCTACATCGCGAACTTGTTTCCCCCCTTCCCATAGCATTTTAAGATTGCAAATATCTTAAATCAATCGTCATAAACAGTTCCCACACTCCGGACTACTCACCTTGACTACTTCCTTCACCACTTCCTACGTCCCGGACCTGTTTCCCTCCCATCCCATAGAATTTTAAGATTGCAGATATCTTAATCTAATCGTCGTAAACAGTTTCCACACTCCAGACTGCTCACCTTTTACTACTTCCTTCATCACTTCCTACGTCACGGACCTGTTTCCCTCCCTTTACATTGCATTTTAAAATTTCAGATACCGTAATCTAATCGTCATAAACAGATCCCACACTCCACACTGCTACCCTTGACTGTATCGAGTTCAGTTTAATCTTTGCTTAATAGTAACAACTGATGTTTTTCCTTTTGTACTGTATTTTGTTTTGCTAGTATACTGTGGATACGAGGTGCGATAGCAAGGGCTCCCGACTGCAAAGACTCCCGACTGCAAACCCTACCGAACGGTGACGTCACGGCCGACTACCCCTCTCTCTATCTGAGTGGAGTGGGAGAGAGTCGTTGCGGCAACACCCCCCCAGTCCAGCCGCTGGCTTGTCCTCCACACGAAAACCCCTACAGAACTATGACGTCCCGGCCGCCTATCCCTCTCTCCGGGTAAAGTGGGGAAATGTGAGTTTTCGTCCGTGATTTTGATGTTGATTCCCACTAAATTAACAAAATAATTGTTTTAAATCAGATTTGTTAAGCATGCCATGGCCCTATATTTTTTCCTCTGAAGATTAAAATAAAATTGTTAAAATTATTAGCCTTGTTTCCTGCGTTTTTTATATTGGTCATTCCCACTAAATTAGCAATACATTTTCTAATCAGATTTGAACATAGTTTTAAGCCAATTTAGACATTATTGGGAAAGTGTTTACATTTGTGAGTAAGTATGAATACCACGTGTAAACCAATAAACTGATTGAACCGAATGTTAACTATTGAATATGAAATATAACTATTTTATTGTAATAATGAAAACAATAAAAGACAAGGGGGGCCACCAGTTGACCGACAAGATACTTGGTCGTTTTGCCACTAGACCGTCTTTTTTAATTAAATAGATAAATACTGAAAACCAGTACGTCGACAAGTTATTTCATCGTCAGTCCAGTTGACCGGCCTGTAAAACTAAATTATTATATACGAGAAACCAACTTGTCGTCAATCGACCCGGCCGACATACCACTTGCTCGTCTTTTAGGTGGGGATGTGTTGAGCAGCAGTGCCAGCGGCGCGCGCAGCTGTGGAGGGCGCTGTAGGCGTACCAACTTCTGTATCTAGTAGCGGCGGTTTTTATTCCGACGATTTCCAGCTATCACAATGCAGCGGACTAGTGAGGTTTTTTATTACGTGTAATTGTTTGTTTCTCAATCGATATTTGTTTATATACAGTACAGTGAATATAAATATGCCTATATTAATTTACTTCAATTAAATACACGTTTTTTAGCTACTACATTTAAATTATTGAAGAATTACATGAAATCTATTTGTAAAAACTGACTTTGAACATTTCATTACAGCTAAGAAAGTGGTGGCAATAGGATAGTTAAATTAGAATTCTCCGCTAAACATTTCATAGGCAGCTAACATTTCCGATTAACATATAGGCATATTCTTTTCTCAAAAATCCTTTCGGGCTTCGCCCCAGTGGCTCTGTAGTTCCCCATGTTAACCTTATGAGTATTCATTTTTAAAGGGAATTAAAGAATTTAGTCAGCTGTTGGTTCTTAAAAACTTGGTTCTATGATATGCAAAAGCAATAAAAAGTTATAAGATTTACCAACATCGATACGGGCTATGCCTCATAGATCTATAAATCATTTCTTTTAGTTTAATCATTGGATATAGCATA